ATTTATTTATTTGAAAGGCAGAGAGGCAGAGGCAGAGAGAAAGAGAGAGAGAGAGAGAGTCTTCCATCCACTGGTTCACTCCCCAGATGGCCGATCCGAAGCCAGGAGGCAGGAGTTTCTTCCAGATCTCCCATGTGGATGCAGGGGCCCAAGGACTTGGGCTGTCTTATATTGCTTTTCCAGGCCATAGCAGAGAGCTAGATGGGAAGTGGAGCAGCCGGAACTTGAACCAGCACCCATATGAGATGCTGACACTGTAGGCGGTGGCTTTACCCACTATGCTACAGCGCCGGCCCCTCTCTTAATCACATGAATTTTCACACCTTTTTTATAGATATTTCTCTGGTCCTGCTTAGCCTTTTCAGTGCAACCCTAACTTTAAGTGGAAGCAAGGGAAAAGAGAAAATTGTATTTAGGAAGAAGACTCTAATCTTCTACTAGGGTTTCAGTGTGTCCCCCAGAAATTCATTTGTTGGAAACTTAATCTTCAAATTCAGATTTTAATGGTATTTGGAGAGGAGGCAGTGGGGAAGTAATTAGGATTTGGTGAGGTCATGAGAGTGGGAGCCCCATGACGGCATTAATGGTTTTATGAGAAGAGGAAGAAAGACTTGAAATAGCACGCTTGGTCTGTTTCACCATGTGTGCCTTCTGCTATGGTATGATGCAGCAGGAAGATACTGCTGGCACCCTGCTTTTGGACTTCTCACATTCTAGAACCATGAGCCAAATTAACTATTCTTTATAATTATCCAGCCCAAGGTATTTTTAATATATAGTTTTATTTAAAAAATTTATATACATGTAGCACTTGTTTGTTTTTATGGGGTACACTGCAATATTTCAACACATGTATACAGTGTAAACTGATCAAATCGGAAACTGTTTTTTCTATTTCTTCTTCTTTATGTTTGGAGACTGTCAGTTTCTCTCTTCCAGTTCTTGTGTGTGTGTGTGTGTGTGTGTGTGTGTGTTTTAACTATCAAGCACATATTTTATTTTTTAGAGTAACATTTTATTTAAGGTATACAAATTTCATATATACAGATTTAGGAACATAGTGATATTTCCCACCTGATGGAACAGGACATAAACCTCAGCCATTTTAGGTTCTTGTTACCCCTGCCTTCTTTCAAGAGACCAGTTCTGTCTCGCCCCCTATATTGTTCCCCACTCCACCCCCTGCATTCTTCCCCAGGTTTGGAAACCAGTGGGCCAAACTTGAAGAACCAGCATGGAGAAGCTCACCTTGGCCTCCTGTCCCCTGCCCCCACCCCTAGCCCACATAAGATATAAAAAGGCCCAGCCTGCTGGGGTCTGGGCCCTCTGCCATGTGTTCAGTCTAAGTACATGCTGGCAGTTGGTCGACCTCTGTGAGTTTATTTTCTCTGAATAATTTCGGTCTGGCTGTGAGTTTGTATTTTGTCTCCTTTCTCTTTCCTGCATTCTTTTTCCTTATATTTGGTGCCCATGTGAGGAGGCACCAATCTACACTCTTTTTTCTTGTACCACCCTACTCTCCTTCCCACCCATGCTCCCACCCTTCTTCCTCCTTCTTCTCCTATACCCTCTCTTCAATTTTTACAGAGGTCTACTTTCGATTTACTTTATACTCATAAGATTAACCCCACACTAAGTAAAGAGTACAACAAATAGTAAGAAGAAGAAAAAAATAAACAGCATTCCTCAACAATTAAGACAAGGGCTGTAAGAAATCATTGAATCAATTTCACTCTTATACATTATATTTTTTGTACTCTATTATTTCCAACAGATCAAGGAAAACATATGGTATTTATCTTTTTGGGACTGGCTTATTTCACTAAATATAATAGTTTCTAGTTGCATCCATTTTGTTGCAAAAGACAGGTATCATTTTAAAAAATATTTGAGGGGCAGAATCAGGGAGAGAGTGGCTGGTAAGAACAAGAAAGAGAACACTCCCATCCATTGGTTTACTACTCAAATGTCAAAGCCAGGAGGAACCAGGAACTCAATTGAAGTCTCCCATGGGAGTGTCAGGTACCCAATTACCTATGTCTTCACTGCATTACTGGGGAGCTAGAATCAGGAACTGGAGCCAGGAATTGAACCCATGTACTCTGATATGGGATATGGCATTTTAACTAGTACACTGAATGCCTGTTCTTTCAGTTCTTTATATAGTATGTAGTACATTTTTGTTAACTGTAGTTGCCCCTGCCCTGTGGAATACTAGAATCTTATTTTTTTTTTTTCTACTGTGTTTTGGTATTTCATTATTGCAAGAAAAATAGGTTAAGGCACCTTTTTTCCTTCTTCCAATCCACCCTCATTATGCTGACACAGACCTAGCAGCAGTGAGTTGTGTTTGGAGGGAAGTAAGTTGGATTGGCTTAAGTGCTGCCATTTTACTTGTGTGTCTGAGCAATCACTATATACTAGGACAAAGCTCTTTCAGTGTCCAGGGATTTCAATGACTGCTGAATCTGTTTCATTAACTCTGAAAATTGTGGGAAAGGGATGTGGAAGGATAAGGAGGAGGCCACAGATGGGAAAATTCTGTTAAAGCAGTACAACTACTGAGGGATTTTCAGGGTTAAAAAAGAAGGAGTTTCATTTGGATATTTAAATAAAAGTAATCTGAATTATCAAGAATGAAAATGCAGTTGACTGACATTAATATTAAATAACTCAATGATAAGAACTGCATATACCACAGTATGCAAAACTATGCAGATATGTCAACATGACACAAGTTTGTGTGAATCACAAACATCAATAAGGATGATGATGATAGAAACTTATTGATAGCTTATTTATGCTAGGCAGTATACTAAAAACCAGATATATGAGCTAACTTAATCTCTAAATTTCCTGTGAAGAATATCCATTTAATGATTTTTCTAGATGAAAAATTAGGTAGAAAGCTATCCAGTAATTTGGACAAGTAATATAGGCTATAAATGTCAGAGCCAGGATATCATTCCAGAGCCTGCACTTATAACTACTACATAGAAACAAGTGCCACTGAATTGAGCTAGGCTGTCCTTTTTGTTTGTTTGTTTTTGTTTTGTTCTATTTTAATTTTTTCCCTGTTACATAAATAACAAAAAGGTAACATACAAGGGGGCTTCAAAAAGTTCATTGTAAAATGAAATTAAAAGATAAGTAAGTTGTTTTGATATAAAAATTTGAAAATCATACATAATTTTTTTCACAATATATAGTTTCCATAAGCTTTTTGAGGTTCCCTCATATTTATCAATAAACAGTTGCTTTCGGAGCCAGTGCCATGGCTCACTTGGTTAATCCTCCGCCTGTGGCACCGGCATCCCATATGGGCGCCGGGTTCTACTCCCAGATGCCCTTCTTCCAGTCCAGCTCTCTGCTGTGGCCCGGGAGTGCAGTGGAGAATGGCCAAAGTGCTTGGTCCCCTGCACCCACATGGGAGACCAAGAAGAAGCACTTGGCTCCTGGCTTCAGAGCGGCATAGCTTCGGCCATAGCAGCCATTTGTGGGGTGAACCAAAGGAAGGAAGACCTTTCTCTCTGTCTATCTCTCACTGTCTAACTCTGTCAAAAAAAAAATTGCTTTCATTTTTTCACATCTCATTAACAGCAAACTATTTTCTTGTGGAAGTTTTGGGATGTCATGAATCCTGATTTTGTCTTAGTGGGGTGTCCTTGAAGTCTCCATTTTTTTAAAAAAAATTTATTTAAGTTATACAAGTTTCATGTATTTCTTTTTTTTTTTTTTTTTTTTTTTACAAATAGCTTAAGTATTTTGTTTGCAACTAAGCTTGTTAACACTATATAATGAAAATGTACAAAGAATAAGGTTGCAGTTTTTGGTTAGATTTAAGTCAAAGACATTCATTAATAAGTAATCTTTGAATGTGACTATTCCAGAAATTTCTCTAAGCCATCTGATCAGAACAACTGTCTCTGAATATGACCTTACTTTGGAAGGTACTGGCATACATCTGAATTAAACTCAAAAATTTCAAAATAAACCCTAATTAAAAAAAGCTATTCTGTATTCAAACTAAAACAATTTTAATAGAACTTTCTTTTCCAGAAACAATAATAATGAAAACAAGGCATTTTGTAAAATGTGGTCCTGAACAAGTCACAGTAAAAAATAAATGTATACTTAACTTCCACCTCCTCAAAACAGAGGCTACTCTCTGTTCCTCAGCCTTGGAAACAAGGTGAAGAACAGCCTGTGAGCAACGTCGGGCAGGGGGTTGCCAAACACAGCTCAAGCAGTTGAACATGGACACCTCCTAAGAATCTGGGGAACCTGATTCAAGGAGCCAAATTCTACCTTTAAGAACTGATACAAAGGTGAAGTGGCTCCTCCCGAGTAGCAGTTCTGCTGGGGCTTGGTGCTGGCCCTGCGCTGTGCTCACCCATGTTATGCTCCTGCTCCAGGGAGGTCTTTTCCCTTTAGAGGGGCGGGTCCAGGGAGCTCTTTGTGTGAATGAGGTGAGCGCCGACTCCATTGGGTATTTTAAGGCTTGGAGTCAAAGTATTTTTCTAACAGAGCTAGGCAGAATCCATGTGTCAAGCGCCATCTCCAGTTTGTTCTAATTTCTCACCACGCATTTGCAGATCTAGGACTGCAGATTCTCCATTCTACCATCATCATCACATCTAATGTCCATCCTAAATTATGATTCATACTCTGTGCCTGGAAACAGTCCCGGTGTTTAACAATAATACCTACACATAAACAATCCACTGTTACAACTTATATGGTCACAAAACATTAATGATCTTCTGTAGACCAAGCCAATGTTTTTAACCATAATTGTCGTGCATGAAATTCACAGCCAGAATCCCCAAGGTTAAAAAAGTTTGCACAATACAAATAATAACTTAAAATACACACACATACACACACACTCTCGCACACACTTCTTACAGAGCTGTGCTTGGGGAAACTCCATTTGTTGAGTGCCACTGAAGGCATATTTTGCTAAACTGCTGCTCCAGGTATTTTGTTTGGAAAATCTATCACAGTAGGGCACAGCTGTTTATTGGATGCGCAGAAAAGAAAGATATGCTGTGGCAACCAGAAAGTTTTAGGTCTTTCAAGTTGTATAAAATGGACCTGCAGAAAACATTTAAGTGTTCTCAGGATGCAAAGTTGGAGCTGAAATGTGCTATCAAACCAGTTGCAAAAAGTGCACAGCAGCCATCTTTTGAGGTCAAACCTGGTACCCAGATACGCAAAAAAGCTTCAGGACACATAGCTTGTTGACCTTGTCCCGTATCGTCGCATAATCTGATCATGTGTGAATTTCACAAAAGATTCATATTGTTCTGCTAGTTTGGTATTGAGGATTTGCTCATATTCCTCCCGAATTTTGTCTTCATAGTCTTTTAAAAGACGCTCACATATTATTCCAACTTGTCGGAGGGTAAAGGTGGGCTGGTCCTTCTTCATCCAGGAAGAACCTGGAGAACTAGGTGCTGTGAGTGCTGAGGAATGAGGCTGACTCTCTGAAGTACAAACGTCACCCTGATTAAGAACAACTTCTAAATGTCTCCACCTCTGGTAACGACTATATTCTTGTTTTATGTTCTGAAAAATTTGCTCCGGTGTTGGAAGGCGCCGCTCGCTGCCGGGCGGGGCGGGCTGCTGCAGAGTCGGCGGTGGGGTCTGCGTGTGACACGGCGGCGGCTCCGCGTCCGGGGGCCTGAGGCCCGGAGTGGGGCCGGGCAGAGGGGCGCAGCGCCGCCGCTTCGGGGAACCGGGGCTCAGCAGCGCCGCCTCGAACTCCATGGGCCGCTTCAGCGTCGCTCCGCACGCCATGCCGCTGAGGGGGCCAGAACGGCCTGGCGCCGATGCGGAGGTAACTACTGCCCAACCTCTGGCTCCTCAGCGGGGCTTGCAAGCCCAGCCGGCTCCAATACAAGTTTCATGTAATAAAAGTTAAAAAAAGAACATAAATAAGGACATGCAGATGTTTTAGAGCGTGGTAAAGGTAACAATTTTAGAGTAGTCAGGGAGTCTTTAGGTCTCACCAGGGTATTGTCGAAGATCTTATCTGTTGGAACTGGAATCTTATGTGGTTTCTTAAGTAGAAAGACCTTTCCCTTAGATTCTTGGTTGTTTCTAAAAATTCTAACCTCACTATTCTGTACATTTTTCAGAATTTTGGTGACTTTAAAAAGTCTGCTTCTTTTCACTATTAAATAGGATCCGAAATACTGTCCTGTTCGCAAACATGATATTTGCGAGTAGGATCAACCCAAGTATTCCTGGTGCTTATGCAGATGGCTAAATCAAAGATCATGTTGCTGGGATCAGTTTCTCATATGTATCTGTCATCAGCATCTGCTCTATTCAGCCCTCTAGACTAGCTCTGCCAGTTTTGGCCTGCAAATCTGGGAAAAGTTATGTATAGCAAGATTTCTTGGCACTCTTCTATAGATTTTCACACTTGATATTCTGACCTTGACTGTCATCTGTCCTCAGTTAGCAGTAATGACGGGAAAGTCATATTACTCTTCTGCAGAAGTTTAAGATCATAATAAACAGTCATCAATTTATTCGTTGGTAAATTGCAGCGGATTTTATGGCCACTTGTGAGCAATTGCATTCGTCTTTCTCTTACTGAAATCAGTGTACCACATCTCAGAAAGCTCTTGGTCACACTGAGTTTGTGTATATATCTTCAAAATTCAGATCTGCTTTACTCAACCCAAATTATACTTTGTGTGAGCTGATTTTCATCTAGGGCTCTAGTGAAAACATAGACACACAAATGTGAGATAATCATGAGCACTGGCCCCTACTCAAGGCAAAATGACACCACTACAACGTTGCATCTTGATGGCTCATGTATTCAGGAAAAATGATAAAGTTGCTTAGTTCTCAGAATCTGTGTGGAATATGAAACAATCACTACTTGGTTTTGTCATTGAAAAGATCTGATTGCAAATGTGGTCTTTGGCAAGTAAACTAATCTCACCAAGGTGTTTTTTTTTTTTTTTTTTTAACTTCTTTTTTCTTTTTTCTTTTTTTTAACTTTTATTTAATAAATATAAATTTCCAAAGTACAGCTTATGGATTACAGTGGCTTCCCCCCACCCCATAACTTCCCTCCAGCCCACAATCCTCCCATCTCCCACTCCCTCTCCCATCCCATTCACATCAAGATTCATTTTCAATTCTCTTTATTTACAGAAGATCAATTTAGTATATATTAAGTAAAGATTTCAACAGTTTGCACCCACATAGAAACATAAAGTGTAAAAGTACTCTTTCAGTACTAGCTATAGCTTTAATTTACATTGTACAACACATTAAGGACAGAGATCCTACATGGGGAGTAAGTGCACAGTGACTCCTGTTGTTGACTTAACAAATTGACACTCTTGTTTATGGCATCAGTAATCTCCCTAGGCTCTTGTCATGAGTTGCCAAGGCTATGGAAGCCTTTTGAGTTCGCTGACTTCGATCTTATTTAGACAAGGTCATAGTCAAAGTGGAAGTTCTCTCCTCCCTACAGAGAAAGGTACCTCCTTCTTTGATGACCCATTCTTTCCACTGGGATCTCACTTGCAGAGATCTTTCATTTAGGTCCTCTTTTTTTTTTTTTTTCTTTTTGCAAGAGTGTCTTGGCTTTCCATGCCTAAAATACTTTCATGGGCTCTTCAGCCAGATGCGAATGCCTTAAGGGCTGATTCTGAGGCCAGAGTGCTGTTTAGGGTATTTGCCAATCTGTGAGTCTGCTGTGTATTCCGCTTCCTATGTTGGACCGTTCTCTCCTTTTTAATTATTTTAGTTAGTATTAGCAGACATTAGTCATGTTTATGTGATCTCTTTGACTCTTAATCCTTTCATTATGATCAATTGTGAACTGAAATTGATCACTTTGACTAGTGAGATGGCATTAGTGCATGCCACCTTGATGGGATTGAATTGGAATCCCCTGGCAAGTTTCTAACTCTAGCGTTTGGGGCAAGTCCGATTGATCATGTGTTGAAATGTACATCTCCTCCCTCTCTTATTCCCACTCTTATATTTAACAGGGATCACTTTTCAGTTATATTTAAACACTTAAGAATAATTGTGTGTTAATTACAGAGTTCAACCAATGGTATTAAGAAGAACAAAAAAATATTAAAAGGTATAATATTAAGTTGTTCATCGACAGTCTGGACAAAGGCTGATCAAATCACTGTTTCTCATTGTGTCCATTTCACTTCATCAGGTTTCCTTTTTGTTGCTTGGTTAGTTGTCACTGATCAAGGAGAACATATATTTGTCTCTTTGGGACTGGCTTATTTCAATCAGCATGATGTTTTCCAGATTCCTCCATTTTGTTGCAAATGACTACTGGATTTCATTGTTTGTTGCTGCTGTATAGTAATCTAGAGAGTACATGTCCCATAATTTCTTTACCCAGTCTACTGTTGATGGGCATTTAGGTTGATTCCAGGTCTTAGCTATTGTGAATTGAGCTGCAATAAACATTAAGGTGCAGACAGCTGTTTTATTTGCCAATTTAATTTCCTTTGGGTAGATTCCAAGGAGTGGGGTGGCTGGGTTGTATGGTAGGGTTATACTCAGGTTTAGGAGGAATCTCCAGTGGCTTTACCAGTTTGCATTCCCACCAACAGTGGGTTAGTGTCCCCTTTTCCCCACGTCCTCGCCAGCATCTGTTGTTGGTAAATTTCTATATGTGAGCCATTCTAACCGGGGTGAGGTGAAACCTCATTGTGGTTTTGATTTGCATTTCCCTAACTGCTGGTGATCCTGAACATTTTTTCATGTGTCTGTTGGCCATTTGAATTTCCTCTTTTGAAAAATGTCTATTGAGGTCCTTGGCCCATCTTTCAAGTGGGTTGTTTGTTTTGTTGTTGTGGAGTTTCTTGATCTCTTTGTAGATTCTGGTTATTAATCCTTTATCGGTTGCATAGTTTGCAAAATATTTCTCCCATTCTGTCGGTCGGTAGCCTCTTCACTTTCCTGACTGTTTCTTTTGCAGTACAGAAACTTCTCAATTTGATGCAATCCCAATAGTTGATTTTGGCTTTGACTGCCTGTGCCTCCCGGGTCTTTTCCAGAAACTCTTTGCCTGTGCCAATATCTTGAAGGGTTTCTCCAATGTTCTCTAATAACTTGATGATGTCGGGTTGTAGATTCAGATCTTTAATCCATGTTGAGTGGATCTTTGTGCAAGGTGCAAGGTAGGGGTCTTGCTTCATGCTTCTGCACGTGGAAATCCAGTTTTCCCAGCACCATTTGTTGAATAGACTGTCCTTACTACAGGAATTGGTTTTAGATCCTTGATCAAGTATCAGTTGGTTGTAGATGTTTGGATTGATTTCTGGTGTTTCTATTCTGTTCCATTGGTCTATCCATCTGTTTCTGTACCAGTACCATGCTGTTTTGATTACAACTGCCCTGTAGTATGTCCTGAAATCTGGTATTGTGATGCCTCTGGCTTTGTTTTTGTTTTACAAGATTGCTTTAGCTATTCGAGGTCTCCTTTTCTCCATATGAATTTCAGCATCATTGTTTCCATATCTGAGAAGAATGTCTTTGGTATTTTGATTGGTATCGCATTGAATCTATCAATTCCTTTTGGGAAATGGACATTTTGATGATATTGATTCTTCCAATCCATGAGCATGGAAGATTTTTCCATTTTTTGGTATCCTCTTCTATATCTTTCTTTAAGGTTTTGTAATTTTCATCGTAGAGATCTTTAACGTCCTTGGTTAAGTTTATTCCAAGGTATTTGATTGTTTTTGTAGCTATTGTGAATGGGATTGATCTTAGAAGTTCTTCCTCAGCCATGGCATTGCCTGTGTATACAAAGGCTGTTGATTTTTGTGCATTGATTTTATATCCTGCTACTTTCCCAAACTCTTCTTTGAGTTCCAATAGTCTCTTAGTAGAGTTCTTTGGATCCCCTAAATAAAGAACCATATCATCTGCAAGGAGGGATAGTTTGAGTTCTTCCTTCCCAATTTGTATGCCTTTAATTTTTTTTCTTGCCTGATGGCTCCGGCTAAAACTTCCAGAACTATGTTAAATAGCAGTGGTGAGAGTGGGCATCCCTGTCTGGTACCAGATCTCAGTGGAAATACTTCCAACTTTTCCCCATTCAATAGGATGCTGGCCGTGGGTTTTTCATAAATTGCTTGATTGTATTGAGGAATGTTCCTTCTATACCGAATTTTCTTAGAGTTTTCATCATGAAAGGGTGTTGAATTTTATCGAATGCTTTCTCTGCATCTATTGAGATAATCAAATGGTTTTTCATCTGGAGATGTTAATGTGATGTATCACATTGATTGAGTTGTGAGCATTGAACCAACCCTGCATACCTGGGATAAATCCCACTTGGTCTGAGTGGGTCATCTTTCTGATATGTTGTTGCATTCTATTAGCCAGAATTTTATTGAGGATTTTTTTTGTCTAAATTCATCCGGGATATTGGTCTGCAATTTTCTTTCAATGCTGCATCTTTTTCCAGCTTAGGAATTAAGGTGATGCTGGCTTCATAGAAAGAATTTGGGAGGATTCCCTCTTTTTCAATTGTTCTGAATAGTTTGAGAAGAATTGGAGTTAGTTCTTCAAAAATGTCTGGTAGAATTCAACAGTAAATCCATCTGTCCTGGGCTTTTCTTTGTTGGCGGGACTTTATTACTGATTCAATTTCTGTCTCAGTTATGGGTCTGCTTAGGTTTTCTGTGTCTTCATGGTTCAATTTAGGTAATTTGCAGGAATCTATCCATTTCTGATAGGTTTCCCTGTTTGCTGGCATACAGGTCCTTGTAGTAATTTCTGATGATTCTTTTTATTTCTGTGGTATCTGTTGTTACATTCCCTTTTTCATCTCTGATTTTATTGATTTCGGTCTTTTCTCTTCTTTTTTTAGTTAGTTG